TAGCCCATTTCTCAGCCCAACAGCAACATTTTTTTTTTATAGTCCATTTATTGCATTCACATATTATGATGGTGTGGCTTTACTATTGTTGATGGTAAATTTGAAGTTAAAAATTGTTGATTCATTGAATATGATTTTTATAATATATTATGTATAAATTTGAAATTGATTTAAAATAATTATATTTAAATATTTTAAAATAAACTTTAAGATTTATAGAAACCCATTCTTCATTTATCCATAAGAATTTATTTGTAATTTTTGCTCTAAAAATCCACTATTAGGAAAAATAATGCTAAGTATACCTTTCCTTGCTCTTTTAATTATATATTGTTGGGAATGGTTGTTATTACTAATATCAAACATAAATAAACAAATAAGAAGGATGATCTTGTGAATTTTTTGATTAGAAAGTATAAGGTATTTTATGTTACATTCCATTTGTTTGGAATTCTAAAAAAATGTAAAAGGGTTTTTGGTCAAAGGAAGTTAAATCATTTTTAAGAAAAAATGACTTTTCATTTTTAGGATAGGAAAATATTTTTCAGATATTGACAAATTTATTATAATCATATAAATATATACTAGCCACTAATGGCCATCGTTGGCCAGTTGGCCACTATCACCTGTTACTCGCTATTATTATTATTTATCATATTTTCTCATACTTAACAATAAATTTTTATAATTATAAATATTTTTATGGTCTCATAAGTTAAAAATCTTAATATTTTTAATATCACAACCAAACAATAGAAAAATGAGTTATTTGAAAAATAATTTGCAAAGATAAGTTATTTTTCGAAAATAAATAAATTCAATATTTTTTTATCAAATAAATTTCAATTTACCATATTATTTTATGTAATTCAACATTGAATAGGGACATATTTTTAGCATACATTGGATTGATCCATTATTATTAATGTAGGCAAGCAAATCATTCAAAATTGTTCAACTTTACATGTGAGGAAACATATGGGGAAAAGAGAGGGTTTTAGGAGAGGGGATCTCACTCCACTCCACTCCACCCATAATTCAGCTTTATGGTCACCCTTGACTTGTTCCAAAAATCTCTATCTCCTTGAACACTCAAAGCCTCTACTCTCCTTTCATGTCACCATAATTGGGATTTGTAAGCCTACATGTGTGCTTCTTTATGGGGCTTGTGTTTGCTCACAAGTGACTATTAACAATCTTTTCAAAGTGGGTCCTATCTTTTTCTCTCTTTTTTTTTTTTTTAAATTTAAAGAATTAATGTAAAATAAATTATAGTTTTTATTAATGAATTTAAAATGTGGTATTCATTTACAAATGAAGAGTTCAATTTTAAGAAAATAAATATTTCATTATTATTAATACAACATTAATTCTTTATTCAAATGGCATTTGTAGTGGAATTAGTCAACTTAGATCAAATCAAACTATACCGATATGACTGAATACATCAAAATTTTATTTTTTATCTAGATTTTAACTATTTTTGAATGGATATATGTATTCAATAAAAAAATAAATTGAATAAAAAAGGTTCGATTTTTTGAATTAAAATCAAACTAAACATATTAATAACTAAATTAAATCAAATTGTGCAAAGTTGTTTTTCACAAGGATTAATGATTAAAATTTTTTTGAATTTTTATAATTTAAATTACTTCACTAGCCTTAATATGTTCATCAAATATCTTAAAAGTGCAAATTCTTAGATCCAACAAGTCATCCCATGCTCTCCAAATTTCTTGACTACAAACGAATCAGACAAAGTTATGATGGTGATGAGGTGGGCCAGAGGATTAGGAGGTGCACGTGGGTATGATAAAGCTGCCATTTGACCAATCAAACTTTGGCTAGCCTATTGAAAATGAGGTGCTAAATTTTTATTTGTCTAGACATAATTTTAATTGGAATTCATCAAATTGGAAGTTTATATAATAGACTTGGCCACATCTGACCCACACTTTATGATAATAATAACAATAAATAGTAAAACAAAAACATTACTACAAGAGCAGCTTTCACACACAGTTCTTGGGACCAAACCCGAAGCATATAGTATGAAACAGTGTAAGAATCTGACCAACTCTCTTTAATCATCACACACGCTTGCACGTGTGTCTGCCCATTTCATAAAAATTCTCTAGATTTTCAAGTTTCTCATTCTCACTCATTTAGGTATCTTTTCTATTTCTACTGTTTTTTTTTTTTTTTTATCGGGAGTTTACTAATTTGACTAATTTAAATTCGTATCGGTTAAGTATTTAAAGAGGGTTTATTATAAAATTCAAACTCAAGACATTCAGTTTTTTCTGTCTTTCTATTTCTTTTATTTTCTATCACTTTTCACATCATTTATTGTAGAAGAGATGAGAAAATTAACCGGATTACATATTTAATTGCATTTTATTTTTTATTTTAAAATAACAACAATAAAAGGAAATTATAATTTTATCTCTGTATTTTTGCCATAAATTATTAATATATCCTTGCATTTTAAAAAAATATACTAAAATATCCGTATAGTTTGATCTCGTTATAAATTTTTGTGGCTCCATATATTTTTTACTAATTTTAGTACAATGAACAAAAAATAAATAATCAGAAGAGAGAAATTATTTTCTTTTGCCCAAATTGCCCCTTAACAAAGTGTGAATCTTTTCTTTTTGCTTTATTCAAAGCTTAAGCAGCTTCTTGAATTTGTGCTTATTCATTTTCTTCTTCCTCTTCTTTTTCACACCCCTAAAGTCTTGACTCCTCATTTTTATTTTGGATCGACCCAGTTGATAAGATGGGGTTTCAATAAAACCCAAATGGATGGATCGAAGAAAATGGTGAGAAATCAAAATGGATCAAGCTCTCTTCTTTATTAAATAGTTGTCTGGTTTTTGTTTGGTTTTCTATTAAGATTTTGAGGCGCAATAATTGAAGATAGTGAAGGATATGATGAGTGGAGAATGTCATTGAAGTGGAGGTGGTGATGGTGTGGGTGGAGATGTCATTTCCTTTTCTAAAATCAAATCCAATTTAATTAAATTAAAATCTTAGAAATAATTAAAAAAATGGAGAGAGATACCATTTTTTTTTTTTTTCATTTTGACAGAGAAAGCGAGAAGGAAGAGAGATGGATTTGAAAATTGAGATTTTACATTTATTGGTTTGTTTGTTTTTATGCAAGTGGTTCTTTACCTAAGAACATTTTTGTCTTTTTATTAAACATTTAAGAGTAAAGTTATAAAAAATAGACCGAATGATAAAAGTTTATAATGGAGCAAATTGTAATGTATTTTCTAAAATACAAAAATAGATAATAATTTACAATAAACTACAAGGATAAAAATTATAATTTTTCCAAAAAATAATAAAATTTGTACACCCCTAACTATCAAATTTAAGCAAAACAAGCAAAAAGGGATTTTGATGTCTTCATTGAAAACTTGAAAGCACCAAATAAAGGACTTGTAAAAGTTAAAATTGACTTTCATGGTTTTTTCTTTTATTTTTATAAAGGGGAATCGAATCTTTTCAATAAAGATAAAAAGAAAAAAATGTAAAGGAAGATAGAAAGAAAATATAAAAATTTCATTTGATAAGTAGTAATGTAAAAAAATATTTTTAATGTAATGTATTTAATTTTTTAGTTAATTAGTTAGGGTTATTTTTAAAATTAATTTACAAGTTAATTAAAATTACTTTCCCTCCCCAATGTCTCTTTTTAATTATTTTATATTCCCTACACTTCCTTTCCTTGACCTTTTTGTTTCAATTTTTTTTTTTTTTTTTTTACATACATAGAATTAAAATGAGATAATTAAAAAGAGTAGTGTCATTTTCATTTAGTACAGAGCACATGTGACAACCGATGCATTCAAATTCCATTTTTACAGCTTTGAGTTGACAAGACCACAGCTCAGCTCTTGGATTGGAATTGGATCCTTCCTTCACAAAACACACCAACACTCTTAACTATATATATTCCTCTCCCTTCTCGATTACTCTTTTGTTTTTTTTATTAAACCTAGTTTTCTTTTTCTATCAAAACCCAATTAAATTTGTCCTCTTCTTATTTTAATAAAAACAATAAAAAATATTTCATCTGTCTCATTTTATTTCTTTGTTGTTTTTTTTAGATGTTAAAAAATATTTACAAAATTTCTAAATTTATAGATGTAAATAATTATTTTTCTTATGGTAATATTTATGATCCTCCATTAAATGAAAGACTTTTATTAATATCATAATGAGTTAAGGGTAAAAAATGACAAAATAATTTTTGTTGACTAAATTTTTAATATGTGTATTTTATCAAATCATTGACAAAATAATTTTTGTTGACTAAATTTTTAATATGTGTATTTTATCAAATCATGCAAATAAAATGAGACGAAGAGAGAATGTTGATACTCTCATTTATTCTATATATCTTCATTAAATTAAAAAGCAGAAAATATAGAGAATTCACTAACCTTAGTATGACAAACTTTTCTGGGTCTTTATAGTATTGATTTCATGTTCTCCTGTTTTCTCTATCTTCTTTCTTTCTTTCTTTCTGTTCAAAAAGTTGCTTTCATATTATTTGAGACCAAATGTTTCATTGTTTCAATAGTCAAACCGTATTATAGGTTAATAATGATTCTTGAGATAATTATTATTCATTGATCATTCATGAATTAAACACTTTGGATCCTCCTTCAATAATTCAAAATTTAAATTTATTTTTCAATTCTTATTCAATAATATTATTCCGTACCAATTAAAATAAATATTATACTAATTAGGTGTGGTTTGATTGATCTTTTTACTTATACGAGGAGTGAGAGATATCGAATTTAAATCATTTTAATCACAAAAATTTTCGCTAATTGGTAAATTAGATGACTCTAACCCTTGTGGAGCAACTTATTATCCCAGATTAAATAATAAAAATATAGAAAATGAAGAAACTTGTATGTTTTTATAAACTTTTTAATTTGAAACATTAATTTCAATAATACTTAATTAAAAGAAACTTATTAAGAATTAAACATTATATTGCTCTTTAATTTCTATTTACATTTCGAATAATTAAAAAGAAATATAAAGAGTCCTAAACAAGAAGATAATAAGAAGTGAAGAAGAGCACAAGTAAAGCTATAAATATTTTCCATGCAAGCTCACTTAGTAGTATTGGAGCTATCATCTTCTTGAAGATTGTAGATTGGAAGTTCTAGCCTTGAAGAAGCAAATTCACCAACAGGGAAGAAAAAAAAGAAGATGACACTTAAATTTTGCTTCACTAATGGTGATGATTTGAAGCTCCAAAATCTTGGAATATTAATCATGCCAACAAAGAAGCATAACTATGCACCTTTTGATGATGTAAAGCCTTCCTTTTTGTTCTCTAATGTATCCTCCAAGTCTTCTACATGAAATCTTCTTTTTAGGGTCTTGCATGTTTGCTCTGCTCATTTTCTTGATTTCTCGATCACTTGACTAACCAAATCTTTGATTTCTTGCCTTTTGAGAGAGAAAGGTAGAGCAAGAAGAACAAGAAAGTTTGTAGTGAGAAGACAAAGAAAGATGGTGGTGTTTATAAAGAGTAAAGGGAGAGAGGTGACCGTGGTCCAATACTCACAAGAACATGAACCCAATTGGATCCCGCCAACACCATGACCTAAAATTTGATTCTTTTTTCTCTCTCTATTTCTTGGTTTGCCACGTCAGCATCTGAACCAAACCCAACATTTATGATATGAATATGGGTATCAACCACCAACACCAAGACAATTGGTCGGCAATTAACTCATTGTAAATTTTTTTCACTGGAGATTTTTTTTTTTTTTTTTTTTTTTATTTTTTTTTTCAAAAAGAAAGAAGTGAAGTTTTTTTTTTTTTTTTTTTTTTTTCAAAAGAAAGAAAGTTGAAGTTTCTTTTATGGATATTTGGGAAATCCATGCGTGTTTTCATGGGCAAAGTCATTTATTTATTCTGTTCTGTAAGAAGGTGAAGAACAAGAGGTTGTGATGTTTCCCTGTCATTTCTTTGACTATAATATTGTCCTAATGGCATAAATTACAATGTCTACATTATCAGTAAGTAGCAGAAACTAGCTAGCAACCATCTCTTTGGTACCCACGTAACCACTTCTCTTCACAAATATCAAGAATCCTGCATTTCCTCACCTTTAGCTATTGCATGCATTATGCCCATTTTGGCAGTAATATTATAATTATTTTGTATATCAAATTAAGTGTTATGTATATATATTCTTAAAATTTATCAATATTGCTAGCTATTCATGCATATATCTTACAAAATTGCACTCCATACATTGAATTTGGGCTAGCATCATTTAGGTTAGTTATCTAACCCCATGCTTATATCATTCTAAGAAAAAAAAAAAAAAAGTTCTAATTCCCTTTAAGGGTGAAAGAATGGAAATCTTGAATTGTGTAATTCACATATTTTATTAATATATGGTGAGGATTATATAATTAATTATGGTTAGATGTATTATTATAGTTCCATGTTTTAGAAGAGTGGATGACATTAAGAAATTAAAGTTCCAATTATATTGGATGTTCCCAATGGAATCAGTAGAAGAGAAGAAACAAGGGGACATAAGTAAGATTAACAAAGTGAAAGCTCAAAGCTCAAAAAATTGCCAAAGGATCTTAGTGATTTCTTTAAACCCAACACAAGTGATTAACTTAATCAAGAAAAGGCCAAAGCATATATAATCCCCACATGTTTTGTCTTGTGCTCTCCCACTTCAATTAGCATGAATGTTTAATTGAGTGGATTTTGGAATTGGTCCCTATAATTCCATACTAGAAGAATCTATACCTAATTGCAGTCAACTTAATTAAGCTTAATTAATTAGGAAGATTACCACTTGACCAAAGACACTTTATAGCTGTGGGAAAACTAGGTCAATCCTACTTAATTCATCTTTTTTTTTTTTTTTAACCACACTATCCAAATCTATTATTGAGGACAGACTAATCCAGCTCGGGGCTAAATTACAGTTAAAGTTCTTTGCCCCTCCCTGCAGGTATATTTAGTGGGAATCGAACCCGAAAATTCTTTCCACATGCGGAGCCTGCATTGCCAATTGAACCACAACCCACAGGTCTTATCTTATCTTTTTTTTTTTTTTTTAATATCATTGTTTTAATACAATTCATTTAAAAGTGAAAATATGACCAATTAAAAAGCTAAAAACTATTACGGAACTCATTTAAAAGTATTTTCACCGATCAAAATGCTAAAAACTACTTAAAAAATTATTACCGAACTCATCTAGCGTGTTTATAATTAGTTATCATCTTCAAAACTATTCTTGATTTTTTCTTGGATCAATCAAACTATTCTGGATACTTTTATTAGGCTGAATCTGACCCACTAAAGATCCAATCACATAAATTGCCATCAAACAGGTCCATATTATAGCTGGCCAACCGCCAACCCCAAAAAATAAAGAATCCTACACTCATCCAACCCTATACTTGGTCCATCAACAATTTGGCATGTCTTTCTAATCATGCAGGTGGGTCTGTAGGGTCAATAAATCTATTTCAAAAAATCAAAAAATAACAAAAAAATTGATAAAAACCCATGTTCAAAGTTATTGGTTAGATATTAGGAGACAATGCTTCCTAAATTAATCTCCAATTCTAACATCATTATCAAACAATGGAGTAATATACCAATTTCATGTCCCAAAAGTTGCTTGCAACTATTTTTTTTCCTAATTTTTTTAATTTTATATGTTACTACTAGAAATTTCTTAAGCAATTGTCTTTTTATATTGTAGACAACCTATACGTGAAAATCTCGTGCTTGACATGGACACTGTCTTTTATATTGTAGACAACCTAGATTTTTGTTTAGCTAGTTTTCAATTTTCAATTTTGCAGTCTGATTCATGTTCAATAATATATATTTTTTTCCCAATTCTATAATTAACATTCATATTATCGTATCTTTGTCTTGGTTTATTCAAAAACATTTAATTCAATCCATGTCTGGAAAATTATATATACAATTCATTGAATTAAAATACTCTAATCGTGTTTTCGACTCATTGAATTCAAATTAAGAGTAGAATATATATAATTTTATTCTTCATTTTTATATGATATTGTGCTAAATGTGATTAAGGAATTAATGATCATATATTTTTCTTGGTGTATACTAAAAATTAGCATTTAGAAGATGTAGAATTAATTTAATTTAATTTAATTCCTTTTTATTTATTTATTTATCTTTTCTTTCTTGATCTAATTCATTATTTTGCGTTCTTTTTTTGAAATTCTTACTGAAAGAGAGTGTAACACCCGCCACCCAGTCCCGAGAGACCCGACGGCGGATGCCACATTCGGTGCCAGAAATCTCTACCTTGTATATGATTTAAGTAAGCTGAAATTAGGAAAAAGTGTTATTGGGTGTGATTAACACCCGTCCACATTCGGTGCCAGAGACACCATCTTAACTTAACATATAAATCATAAAACTAAAATTATGAATTAGAAGTAATTGAGTATTCACAAGTTTAGCGAGTAAATTTTTTTCTTATTTTTATAATAGCAATTTCATTTCATTTTCCTTGCATTTTTTTTATATACATTGGGAAAATTCCTACAGAAATATTGTAAGAATATCCTTTTAAAAAAGCTCGCCAGAACATGTGAATACAAAATACTCCCAATAACTCTAAACTCCAACTTCTCCATAATAATCTTTTATAATATTAACAACACTTTTATATTTTCATAAGATTAAACCATACATCAGTAATTTTTTCCGGACCAAAATAATCTTATCCCGGACCGATGGCACTTATTCACAGACGATAACTACTGATTTCAGACACAGAAAAAGGGGCGTTACAGAGAGACAAATGTAATATTATAGGACCAAAATAATACTTATTCCCGGACCGATGGCACTATTCACAGACCGATAACTTACTATTTCAGACACAGAAAAATGGGGCGTTACAGAGAGAAATGTAATATTTATATTTTAGGAAGTTACTTGGAATGCCATCAACATATATATTAATATCTTTGGTTTGATAATTTGGAGTATAAAATAATCTATAACTTTAAATAATCATCTTTGAATCCAATATTTGCTCGTGTCTATTTGTGATGCATAAGTCCCTCCTCCCTATAATTCTTGAATTAAAAAAAATTTCATAACAAGATCTTTGGCGTGAATTAGGAGTTAATGAAATATTTTACAAGGTTATCTATTAATAATATCGAATAATCATAATTATTATTTAATTGTATACGTGGCACAACCCAATTCTTATTTTTTCAAGATTCAAATCCTTAATTTTTGTGAATTTAAATATCTAAATGATAAAGAAACTTTCTCTTGACATAATGACAATAATATATATTGTGGAAACAAAATATATATGATGGTGTATAGATTTTATCTATAAAACAAATAATAAATCGATATGCTCAAAATAGAAAAAAATAAAAATAAAGGACTATGGAGTAGATATAATAAAATCGTAAATAGACTTTAAATCTATAGAAAATATAAATAGTATTATCGATAATGATAAAAAGACTTTTATTTTTATATTCATATTTCACTCTTGATTTTTATATTTTAAAGACCTAACATTTAATTCACTCGAATTTTTCAAGTAGTTGCAATTTTTTAAATTGACTTTTGTACTCTAGATTCCCTGAACTTAATAACTAGTTACAATTACACCGTAATTTGAATTAATATCCAACTTATTATTTTTGCATCTTAAAATTAGTTCAATTTTAAAATAAGTACTCAATCTTGATCTTATTTATTTATTATATGAATACTTAGGTTTGACTTTATTATTTATTGTTTAAATACTTAGATATGGAGTTCGTTCTTTTACATTATTTTAATCCGAATTCCATCTTTAGTTTACTTTTAGGGCGCGGTTGCACCCTAAGAGCAAATTAGGATGTAATTGGAATTAGGGTGATAAGTTCAAAATATAATTATAACTATTCGAAAAGTTCGGAGTGAAATTAAAGGTTTGACATATTTTTAAAGTAAGTTAACATTAAAAATTAGCTCATAAATTGAAAATTAAGTAAACAATTAGATGAAGCCTGTGCATTGTACGGTTGTTTTGTTGCCATATTATATATTATATTTTTTTAGAAAATATTTAATAGTGGAAAGAATTTTAAATTTAAATAATTGTTAATATGAATGTAAAAACTAAGTATATCGTATTTGGATTTTTATATGGAATTGGAATTAGTTACATTTTCTTAGAGTTAGGCTAGTTTTTGAGTTATTATATATTTATTTTTTTAATATATTTTGATTAATGCTTAAAAATCACATGAACAAATTATTTTATGCCCTATCTATGTAATCGAAAGTCACTCCTTGATTTCAAAAAAAAAAAAAAAAAAAAATCCACTCCTTTGATTTTCAAACAAAAAAAAAAAAAAAAAAAAAAAAAAAAAAAAAAATATTACAAAATATAAAAAATAAAATAAATAAATAGACAAATTCTCATATTTTGTGACCCAAACATTTTCAATCATGTGGTTAATAGGCAGTCATACAATCCCCCTTACGCCAGTTGATCCCCACT